TATAGGGATGGACAGTTGTATCGATATATACATATATAGGTAGATAACTAGATATATATTCATATGTGTACACACAAGTTATATATACAACTCGATGTATATATATAGATCGATCGATCTATAGTTATATGGACTCGATATATATATATGGACATATAGATACGCATATAACTCGATATTTATATATATATATGGATATATAAATATGTATGTATATATATATATATGTATGCGTAAACACATGTGTATACATGCACCTATAGACACATATACATATATACGCACGTGTCGACTGAGTGTCGCATTCGAGTGGAGTGAGTGCGTTTCGCATTCGCCTCATGACCCCATGATCCGACGCTCCCAAACAAAAACTTAGAGCGGCGGGCTTTGGGCCGTTCTCGGCCTCCAGAGACCCTCGCTGGGCTTCGCGACCTCGGCCTCCTCCTCTTCCTCATCCTCCTCCTCCTGCTCCTCCTCCTCCTCCTCCTCCTCCTCCTCCTCCTCCTCCTCCTCCTCCTCCTCCTCCTCCTCCTCCTCCTCCTCCTCCTCCTCCCTAGGGAATGGAGCGGCGGTTTTTGGCCGTTTTCGGCCTCCAGGGGCCCTCTCCAGGCCTCGGGATCGTCCAAAAAAATTGGTGGTAGGAAGAGTTCAGACCTCAGGGGGGTCCACGCACCAAAAAAATGGAAACGCCGAGTACCTCGGCGGTTTTGGGCCCCCAGGGGCCCTTGCCAGGCCTCGGGGCCGTCGAAAACATGACTCAGGACGAAGAACCGGTCCTGGGGAAGTGGTCCAGAACTCCAGGGCCCACGCATCGAAAAAAATTGGAGCAGCCGGACGTCTGGGGAGCAGGATCTTTCAAGCGCAACGAGCCTCAAGCCCCAGGAGCCGAACACCTGAAGGCCCAAACGGCAAGAACCGCACCTCCACTCCACAGAGCTCACGAACAGGAAGGGGCTGTGGCGAGGTTCGAGGTTCTGGGTCCGGAGGTTTTTTTTCCCTACATGCTAAGTGGGGTTCTGGTTCTCTTCCCGCCCGCGTCGCACCCGCGTCTCCTTACACACAAACATACCTTCCCCTCACCTCCTTCTCTCCCTTCCGCGCCTCAGCCACACGCAACACATACACGGCACCTACATGAGACACGCGTCTTCATGTAGCCGCACACACGCACACACGCACATCCCACACAACGATAGTGTACACCTGGCGTGTTCAGTGCATCATACACCCAAAACGTATGCACCACACATTGGGCACCGACATGAGACACACGTCCACAAACAGCCTGACACACAACATACACACGCACATGACACGCAGACGCAGACCTACTCACCCACATGACACGCACACCACCCAACACATACGCACAATATTCGCAGGGCGTGGCAAGCGTGGCACTTTCTCGACACCAAAGAGGGCGCGTAGGGGGTGGTCCCTGACCGGGGTCTATATTCGGGCCATGACGCAGGGTACGGCAGCCGTGGTACTTTCTCGACATCAGAGGGGGCGCGCAGGGGGTGGTCCTTGAGGACGGCCTCCATGCGGGCAATGGCGCAGGGTACGGCAGGCGTGGTATTTTCTCGGCACTAGAGGGTGTGTGCCGGGGGTGGGTCACTGAGCGCGGCCTCCATGCGGGCCATGGCGCAGGGCACGGCAGGCGTGGCACTGTCTCGACACCAGAAGGAGCACTCAGGAGCTGGTCACTGAACTCGGGGATCTTCTGACCCTGGTCAATCCAGACCTGGGTCAGCAGGAAACCAACAACTGCAATGCAGGATAACAAAAACTGCAACGCAGGTCTTCGCAACTCCGGGTCAGCCAACAAGCGCGGCCGCCTCGCGGCTCGCTAACCCGGGTCAGCCAGAGGGGGTCTTCGCAGTATCCTGCAGGATCGGGTGCCCTGGCTGACCCCCGTTTGCATTGACCCCCGTCTCTTGAGCCCCGATGAACGCGGCCTCTATGTGGGCTGTGGCGCAAGGCGTTGCAGACGTGGACCTTTCTCTAAGCCAAAGGGGGTGCGCGGGCGGTGGTACCAGAGCGCGGCCTGGCGCACGGTACGGCAGGCGTGGCACTTTCTTGCAACCAGAGGGAGCGCGCGGGGAGTGGTCCCTGAGCGCGGCCTCCATGCGGGCCATGGCGCACGGCGTGGCAGGCGTGGCACGTTCTTGACACCAGAAGGGGCGCATATGGGGGTGGTCCCTGAGCGCGGTCTCTATGCGGGCCGTGGCGCAGGGCGTGGCAGGCGTGGAACTGCCTCCACTCCAGCGAGGTACGCAGGTAGTGGTCCCTGAGCGCGGCCTCATGCTGGCCATGGCGCAGTGTGCGGCAGGCGTGGCACTTTCTGTGCACCAGTAAGGGTGTGTGTGTGTGTGTGTGTGTATGTGCGCTTAAAGCGAGTCAAATCATATCCAAACGTAGCCGAAAAGAGTAGAAACATCGTCCCCAGACTATCTTTCGGACTATGTTTGAATGTTCCTCCTGTAGAGGGACGTGCCTGGGAGGTCGCTTGGGGGGCAGCGTTGTTTCCAAGGCCAGGTCCCAATACGCTCAGCCAGCGCGCTTAATCCGTCAATGACAATTCTTACGACACCCATTCGCGACAAGTTCGGACCGTAGGTCTACTCTTATCAACGATTGGGCTGCTTAGGTTTGCTCTTACCCTACGAGCATTGCCTCCTCCTCCGTCGCCCCAGAAACACAGATCGCGTTCGCTGCCCCTCAGCGAGCTGAAAGACGTGCCCGACTTGCGGATCTGTTCTTCGCCCACGAGCGCCGTGGCGAGGGCGCCCGCGCCGCTGGAGGCCGCTCCCAGGAGCAGGCGCAGCACGGTGTCCCAGGCGCTGCACGGCGGCTCCGCGCCGCGGGCGCCCTGCGGCGGCGTCGGACGACGACGACGACGACGACGACGACGACGACGACGACGACGACGACGAAGACGACGACGACGACGGACGACGACGACGACGACGACGACGACGACGACGACGACGACGACGACGACGACGACGACGGACGACGACGACGACGACGACGACGACGACGACGACGACGACGACGACGGGCGTCCTGCGTCTCTGGCGCCCGTGCCGGGGCACTCACGGCGCGCCAGTTGGTCAGGGGCGCCTCCCTCGCCGTCGCGGACAGCAGCAGGAGGGCGCCCACCACGGCCCTGCCCCAGCCGCGCTCTAGCAGCGCCCTCCAGGGCATCGAGGCCGGCCACGCCGACACGAAGGCCTCCCAGTCCTCTGAGCATCGTTTGTCCGATCCCCCATCCCCGCCAGCGTGGGCTGGGCCCCACTGGCTGATTTACCCCCGTGATGGGGACACAGGCTGCCCTCTTCGGGCTTCGAGGGGCAGATCCCCCGCTGAGGTGGTGAGACGCTGGGGCTCGAGATGTGGATGGGGACGGGGATAGGGATCGGCCAAAAGATACTGGTCCTCTGCAGGGGCGTCCAGTGCCAGCGCGCCCCGGGCCAGCTGCACGGCCTCGCCCACCAGCAGCGCCGTGGAGCAGCGCAGGCTCCGCAGGCACTCGCTGCTGCCGCCCGGGGCCTGCCGGCGCTGCGCCAGCGCGCGCCACGCCGAGTCCAGGCCATCCGACAGCGTCATGGTCTCGTAGGAGGGCCCCTCGGGTGCGCGCCAGCTGGGGAAGCGCCAGCTCAGATTCCCGCCGCCCCTCCCGCCGCCGCCCGCGCGGAGCTCGGCCGGCGGCACGTGCGCGAGGGGCGCGACGTACTGCGCGACGGCGTCCCAGTCGAGCAGGAGCGCCGCAGGGCGGCGGAGCTGCTCCTCGGCGTCCAGCAGCACGTGGCCCCGGCACCTGCCGCACGCCAGGGCCGCGTCGGCGGGGGGAGCTGGCAGAGGCGTGACCTCGTCCCAGTAGGGCTCGTGCTGCAGCCGCTCGATAGAAAAAGGAAGCCACGCCGTAAACGTAAGCTTTGGGCGCTCCGCGCGGAGTTCTCGGCTCCGCGCTGGACCCCCCTCCCTGGCGCGCGGAGCGCGCCAGGGGCGGCGCCGAGGAGGCGCCGCGGGGGGGGCGGGGGGCCCGAGCGCGGCTCCAAGAACTCCGCGCGGAGCTCCGAAAATGTAGGCCTCCATCGTCCTCCCTTCTTCGGCCTCGAGGAAGCAGAGCCCCTCCTCTCGTTAAAGGCTTAACGACTTCTGCCGTCCTTCGACTCGTGCTGGAGCGGCCGCGAAGTGCTCGAACTTTCCCTGGAGATCTCTGGATTTACCTGGATTTACCCAGATTTATCTAGATTTACCTGGATTTACCTCGATCTATCTGCATTTACCTGGGTTTATCTGGCTCGATTCTCACAAGTCGATTGGCGAAAAGTCGACAAGCCCTAAGGGATCCTCGGCCGCGCCGGCGCTGCCGTCCACCTGCTGCCCGCCGCAGCACCGCAGCCGCAGCAGGGCCGCGCAGGCCGCGGCGCCCGCGCCGCCCGCCCCGAGGCGCCAGGGCCGGCGCGCGGCGCCCGGCGGCGTGGCCATCACTCGGCGCACGGCGCCGCACGCCAGGTGGGGGCACGCGAGGAGGAGGAGGAGGAGGAGGAGGAGGAGGAGGAGGAGGAGAGAGGGGGAGGAGGAGGAGGAGGAGGAGGAGGAGGAGTGAGGATGGAGGAGGGAGGAGGAGGAGGAGGAGGAGGAGGAGGAGGATGAGGGAGGAGGGGGAGGAGGAGCAGGAGGAGGGGGAAGAGGAGGAGGAGGAGCAGGAGGAGGAGGAGGAGGAGGAGGAGGAGGAGGAGGAGGAGGAGGGCTGGTGAACCAAGCCCGAGCCAGAGATTGCGGACCCGCGTGCAGAGGCGTTCTGATTGGCGGAGGGCCGCGCGGGTTCTCCCATCAAACTTTTGGATCGCCAGTGTCAACCAAGCCCGAACCAGAGTCTACAGTGGAGGCCCGACCACAAGAAACCTTTCGCAAGAAACACAACCCTGAGACCCCAGGACGTCCATCGGTTTGTGGTGGGGGAACGTCACGCCTTCCACAGCAAAACC